AGGTACATATCTATTTTTTTAAATATATTTTATTGATTTTGTACAGAGAGGAAGGGAGAGAGATAGAGAGTTAGAAACATCGATGAGAGAGAGTCATCGATCAGCTGCCTCTTGCACACCCCCTACTGGGGATATGCCCGCAACCAAGGTACATGCCCTTGACCGGAATCGAACTCGGGACTCTTCAGTCCCCAAGCCGACGCTCTATCCATTGAGCCAAACCGGTCTCGGTGTTAAGGTACATATGCTGATTTCTGGTATTAACTTATGGTTTTATGAAAACTCAAATAAGCAACCTCTGATCTTTATCTTTCTCATTGTTTACTCATTTTAGGGTGTCAGGATTATAACAGACAAATATAAACCTTCACCAACTGACATTTTCAGTGTTTGCCCCCAACCGCTCTCTGGTTATGTTTGTCAATTAGCATCTCAAGAAGAAATGTCGATATATATTTGGATTTTTGCATTTACACTTCATGAAATATTTCACAGATATTTATAACACTACCAATTCTGCTCTGCTGAAATGAAAATGTGTACAGTGCAGATAAATCAAAGGCCATAAATAACTTCACCATCAGGGTCAGTAAACATCCATTGAGGATATGTGACATAATTGGTTCAGATTACTATCAATTTGGGTTCTAATCTGGGAAAATTTTGGGTAAAGCTCTTTCATTGTTGGTGACGTCTTTAGTATCTCTTAATAAGAACAAAATGTCTTTATCCATAAGGGCATAGGAAAGCAAGGTGAATAATCATGCCTGAGTATATAGTGTGTGCAGGTCAGCAAGTATTCAGAATAGATGCTCATGAACATGAGAGTAGATCTGAAGTGTCTGAGGAGGAAACTGTGTTTCATTTGCCACCCCAAGAGCCTTTAACCTGCCTAGTGCTGGGCACAATGACCTAACCCAGATGCTGGGGTTACATTTGCAGATGTACAGGGGGAGGTGTTTGGAAATGGGCTTTTACTTATCTTCCCGATTCTCTTACCCATCCTTCATGGTAAGGTTTTGAGTGCTCAGCTCTTCAAGGAATAAACTTGTGCCAATACCAGTGGCTTGTTCAATCCTCATCATCCCTGTGTTCTCCACAGTTGTTGACGTTTTTGATAGTTCCTATCTGGAAAATCCCTCCCTGGTCCTCTGTTTCATTACACCAGGCTGGTTGGTCATGTCCTCCAGTCCATCTTTCTCTCATTTGGCCCTCCCACCCCCATGGGCGTTGGTGACTTCTTTAGTGTCTCTTAATAAGAACAAAATGTCACCATCCATAAAGCTCTCTGATATTTGGTTTTCTGATATGTTTATATGTACTTTTGCATTTGAATTTCTCAGGATTTAACTATCTCTTATATAATTATATGTTCCAAGTCTTTATTTTCAGCCCTAGAGTGAGCACAACATACATTATCAATTGTCTATTAAGTTAAATGTCGTTGTGATTTTTATTATCTTTACTTAAGTCCACCTGCTTTTGTTGATATCAACCAGCATCAATGTTTGAAATGAAATACTTCATTTTATTTTCCTTTCTTGATTTCCATGCTTCTTCATGGTACTCTCATTATCTTACTCATCCAAGTATATTGCCCCCTCCTACTGCCAGAAAACCAAGTAGTTATTATATTTCAGACACTGTTGTTCTAGTTGTTTGGTAGATTATGGTCCTTCCTTAGTGGAGTTTGCATCCCAAAGGGAGAGTTAGACATTAATCACACACTCACAAAAATAGACCTTACTGCATGCAGGAAAAGAACAGCACAGGAAAAGTGCAGGGAGTATGAAGACCTGACTTAGAATGGGAGGAGAGGGATGTTTGACCTGAGATTTGAATGATGATTCAGGGCCAGAGAGGGGCATCCAAGCATAAAAAAATAGCGTTCCTTAAAGTCTTGGACCTGGGGGTGGCAGTGGGAGGAAACTGTGTAATGCGAAGCAATGAAGAAAGCTATGTAGTATGAAAGTGACCTGGAAGAGAAAGTAGCAAAAGAGGAGGTGGAGGCAGATCATGAAGGGCCTTGATGTCATATTAAAGACTTTGATCTCTACCCTAAGAATTATTGCAGCATACTAAGTAAGGGAATAACACAGTTGGGATTTTATTTTCAGATGATTGCAGTCTGCAGGGAAGAGAATGGATTGGCAGGGAATGGGCAAAAATGGACATATAGACACTGGCCTGGAGGCCATTCCCATAGTTCAGATAAGGAAACGGTGATGGTTATGCAGAAAATGCTGGCTCCAGTACACAAAAACCTCAGAATCATTATGTCTGAACATATTTAATATTTAACTGTATGTATTTAACCAATCCATTCCATTAAATGTTCCTGTGTAGTATCTTTTGCATGTGATTTTCCTTTCTATTACTGTTCTTGCCACTAATTCCAGAGCTGTGAACTCATGTCTGAATGATATCCCTCTCCCGTTAGGGATTGCTCATGGAGAACAGCTGCTCCCCTGCCCCCAAATTTCCCACCTGAACCCGGGTCTCAGAGGTCCCAGTGGCTTGTCCCTCCTCCAGGATCTGCAACAACAGTGCTGAGACTGGCTTCTACTCGGACAAAACATTATGAAGGTACATGTCTTTAAGGCCTTGGTTCCAAACACGAATAAGCTCTCTCACCTGGTGCACTTTGAAAATATACAGATTCCTTGCTCATTACCAGAGGTTTGGATTCAGCAGGGTTGTTTTTTTTGGGGGGGGGAGGGAGAGGGAGGGCAAGAGACTGTATTTCACAAAGTCCAGGTTTCTAAGGATCAGATAGGCTTTGTTTGTTCTAAAGCACCACTCAGTGCATCTCATTTTGTCCTGAAAAAGTCAGTTGTGTTTTTCCAGATTGGGTCTGTTTTTTCTGTGCTGTCTTCCCAACCTCCTTCCTCCCTTCACTAAACATCCTTCCTTACTTAGATTTTCCCTTGACCTTAGCCTTCTGTTTTGTGGCTTTTCCTCCCACTGTGGAATCTCTGATGTCTTCTCGGTGGGCGTAGCCACCTGTGAGGGGCCGTGCCATGCCATAGAGGACTGCTCCCTGGAAGGCGGAGTGACAGGGAGGATTTCATTAGAAAGCAAACTCTACATTTGCAAAGATGAGGTGTTACATAGAGCAAGGGAGGAAAGTTAGCACAAGAAAATAATCTTTTTGAGAATGCAGCTCTGTTTCATGTATCTATCAATTAGATTTGCTTCCTTTTGGTCTTTAGATAAAAAAATTTTCAAATAAACATGACTGCGGTGCATCTGTTTTAATGCTTCTAATCTTCTGACTACTAGAGCAAAAAATTAATATCTTCCTTCCTCAGTAACAGTAAAAACTCAGATACCAGTGGAAGGAGGGGAATGAAGAACAGAGGCGGTTTATCTCTGGGTGGGGAATTTGCATGGTGCGAATGAGCATGCAGTCACATACATATGTGATTAGCATCAATTTCTTATTTTTATGAAACTGTAGCAATAGATCATGTTAGATATGTGAAAAATATCAAAATTGGATCCCTGACCAGTTACTACATTTAACTTTCTAGAAGTACATTATCAGATATCCATGAGCCAAAAAGAGAAAAAAAATAACAAGAAGGGTTTACTTGGTGTCCAAATATGGTTTTATCATTTTTTAATCTTCTCTAATGTTTATTCTTAGAATCACAGGTATTTTCAGATGTCCTTTAATTTCATCTACAGTTAGTATACTGATAAGTGACTGCTGAGCTAGGGAAGGTAGCAAGGAACATGTATTTGCATTTCCTAAAATTGAGCCACTGAAACCCAAATGGAAGGAGGATACATATGAATTATAAATTCAAATTGTAACATGCGTGTTGAAATGGGGGAGGAGGTGAAACTGGAAGGAGGCGGGAAAATGATTTGCTTCCACTCATAGCACAGAGGAAGATAATTCACGGGAGATTAAAAAATATAAAAAGCTTTTCCCACTTGCCTCGTTTCCTCATGGTGTCTTTGAATGTGTTTGGCAGCAGTGGGCTATGTCAGGCCACCTGTGCAGTCAGCAAATGGCTCATGGTATTCAAAAGACCCCTTTTATTAATCTCCTCAAGCAGCCCTTTGGGAAATTGGATGCTTGCTTTAGAATGGCCACCGTATTTTTACCCCGCTTGAGGTGTTACTGTATTTTCTTCTGTTCATGACAATTTTCTTTATCCCTGCAATCAACAATAAGCTCCTTCCTCACTTTGGTGTCATTCAGAATTCCTTGCCCAATGGCAGACAGATTCTATAAGTTGTGAAGCTCCAGGGCACCAGTTCTTGTTGTGCAGGGAGGAAGAGGCGAATGTGGGGTACATTGTGGCTGGTGCCCCCTGAAGTTGTGCAACAGGTTGTAAGTACTCAATAAGAGCATAAATAATAATCAATGAATGAGCAACTGAATGATTGAACAAACACCTTTCTTTTTATTTTGCAGAGTCAGTTTAGTGTAGTTAATGCTGAGTCCAGATGAAATAGAAATAGATAGACTCAGAATTAAGAGTGATTTGGGTTCAATCCTGGATTCCCTCATTTACTTCCTTGGGCAAATTACTTAATTTCTTTGAATCTCAATTTGCCTATCTGTAAAATAGGTAGAGTAAACCTACCTTGTAGAGTTATAAAGAGAATTATATGTAATATAAACAGAAAACACCTAATATAGTCCCTGGCATAGAGTAGATACTGAATATTAAAAATGAAAATTGTGGTTTCATGTTTTTTGTTTTATTTCAATCCACCTTTAGTTGTATTAGCATCAGTGAGTGGAGAAAGTAGAGCATGGACATAGGACTGAACTAACACCTGTACCTACTGAAAGCAGGGCTCATGTCTCTCCTTTTTAAAAATATATTTTATTGATTTTTTTACAGAGAGGAAAGGAGAGGGATATGGAGTTAGAAACATTGATAAGAGTGAAGCATCGATCAGCTGCCTCCTGCACACAGCCTAATGGGGTTGTGCATGCTACCGAGGTACATGCCCTTGACCGGAATCGAACCTGGGACCCTTCAGTCTGCAGGCTGATGCTCTATCCACTGAGCCAAACTGGTTAGGGCAGGGTCATGTCTCTTATCCAGAAGTGCAGTTCCCAATATGTGTCTATCATGGGGATCAACAGTGTATTAATTATCATATCAGCTGCTAGTATGAGCTTGCAATATATTTTTTTTGTTGAGACATAAAACAATTAGTTAAGAATCACTGCTTTTACATTGTGCAATATGCAGGATGTACATTTGATCATACATTGACTTTGCCCTGTGGCTATACAACCAATTAGAAAGAATACTCAGTGGGGTTCTGGTACCAAAGTGTGAGAGCTTCACACAGCATGGCTGAGAGAACAGGCCCGGATTCCTCTTCCAGGGCCTGTGGATACTCTACCATGTTCTACTTTCTTTTCTACTGTAATGAATTACTTATCAAGCCTGCAGCCTGCCCTGCAGAACTTCTCAGACTTATTCCTTTTTTAGTATTATTGCTTCCTTCTTGCTGCTTTTTTTTTTCATTATCTGTGCCTTTGCTCTTTCTATGCATTTATTAACTGAATTAGCACATTTCCAATGTTTGTTCACATTTAATGAGGTATTGGTATTTTGGTGGCAGAAATGAAGAAGTGAGACCCATGGGTGAGAATTTTATTGAACTTCGGTGTATGTTATTTTTCAAGATGTGTGATTCGCAGTCATAATCTATTATGAAACACAAAGTGATATGTATACCTAAAGTATCTGATATTTTATTGGCTGAAAATATGACACAGATAAAGAAAGTTCCTTATACAAAGTGGCTATCCCCTAAATAATTCAACTTCATTGGACAGAAAATGAAAAAAAAAGTTTTATCAGCTACAAAATCCTTCAAATGTATTTAAAAGTTATTAGAAATACAAAATTAAATTGGAAATGCCTCTGATTAATTGGATTAAATAGTCTTAGTCAAGGTTATCTTGTTACAAATAACAGATAGCTACCCAAACTGGCTGCAGTGGGAAGGGAGAGTTTATGATAAGGATACATGGTGTCTCCAATTCCCAAAGGCAGAAAGTGGGGCTGCAGTTTGGAGACATGTTTCAGCCTCAGGCTTTCTCTCTGGTTGCATTTGGTATTTGTGCTTCCTTCTGTCCCTTTGAAGTTGTCTGTTCCAGGAGGGCAACCTCACCTCCTGAGTCAAGTGAAGAGTTCAAACTACCCAGCATCTCTGGGTCCCAAGTCCAGATTCTTAGGAGAAAGACTGTTATTGGTCAAGGATATAGGAGTTTTGTAGTGAATACATAGCTGCCTGAACAGCCTAATTGGAGAGAGGTGGGATGGGACTGGGGAGAGAAGTTCTCAAGGAAATGCTTTGCAGGATAAGCATTGTCTACTGCACAAACTTTGTCTTGCTTGATCCTTTTACAGAAAGCAGTTCAATGTGGGCATAAAACAGTTGTAGCTGAACTATTTTATGACATTTGGTTATTATTAAAAGGCTGAATCGATGTATGCATGCCAGAATGATCTATTAAAGACACATTTCTTAGAAATTAAATTCTAATATCGATATCTGAAATAAGTAGGAAATTTTAGGAGATATTGCTGTGATTTTAAAAATTATATTTTATTGATTTTTTTTTAACAGAGGGGATGGGAGAGGGATAGAGAGGTAGAAAAATTGGTCAGCTGCCTCCTGTACACTGCCTACTGGGGATATGCCTGCAACCAAGGTACATGCCCTTGACCAGAATTGAACCTGAGACCCTTCAGTCCAGAGGCTATCACCCTATCTACTGAGCCAAAATGGCTAGGGCAGCATTTATGTGATTTTATATTTATTTTGCTTTCATTGCATATAGAATTGATTGTATTTATAATCATCACCATAAACTCATTACAATGGTTCCTTTTGTTTATTCAAATATTTATTATTGCTTTGATATTTTCTCATCCTTATTACCTCCTTTGTTATATTTTCTCCTCTACCTCATTCTATCTTATGTTTTCTTCCCCCCCCCTCCCTTTTTTTTTTTATCACTCTCTTTCTTCTGAGGGCTGAAAAGATGTGTGTGGGTGTTGTTGCAAGTGGGAGAGAGGAAAAATTGAGCAATGACAAGTGGAAAGTAGCAAAATTATTTTAGTAACTCACTGTCTTGGGAGGATACATATTGATGTATAATTTATACACAAATGCAAATAGTCATGTAAATTGAGTGCGTTTTTTTAGCTCTTAGAAAATGACTGCCCACACTGTGCTCTGCAGTCCTTCTTATGCTCTGGCTTCAGATGACTGCCCTGGAGTCCTTAGGAGTCAGAATCAAGAGAGTCTGGTGTAACTTGGATGAAATGTGTGGCTTTTATAGTTCCATAAAATGGCCAAGGCATGGGATAGGAGAGTAGAGAGAAGAATAAATGGAAGAGTAAGATCTGTAAGAAGACATTGGGGTTATTGGGGGAAGGGAGGACAAGCAAAAAAAGAGAACTGGGGGCAAGCAGTTGCTGAACTTGACAGTGTGTAGGCACTTTCTAGAGGGCATTAATGTGGTCAGAAGAATTGGCACATGTAGTGTATGTATTGTAATTTAGGAAAAGACACGACCTTGTAGTTATGTGGCTGAAGAGGAGGAGTACCTTCCTCTGCTGGGCTGGGCCCTTCTATGTGAGACTGACTTATGTAATGTTATGCAAAATTTCTGAGGGGTAAGAAACATGAGCACTGGATAGCCAGGATGAAAATCTAAGGTTTACCAAGAGCCCTTTCCTAGCTTATGACCCCTAGGTCAGGAGTTGTGTAGGTCAGAGGTACACTTTGGGGAATTATTGCTTGAAGACCCCAGAGCAGGGAGAGTCAATGGGATACTAATCAGAGAAAACAGGACTAGGGTGTGGGCCATGCCTCCAAATGAAGGTGATATAGGAGCATGTGTGGCTATTAACAGAAGGTTGCCTTGGGGTGGAAAAGGCCAGAGGCAGACACCTATTTCATTACTGTGTTAGGTAAAGTTGGCAGACAAGATTCAATTGTAAGGAGAGCCCCTCCTGGTTCCATTTCATCCCAAGTGGAGGAGGAAGAGCTCTTAGATGGGCTGATATTAGCCCCTGCAGAAGGCAGAAGTGGTAGAGATGGAATTAGAATTTCAATTTGTCTGGCTGCAAAGCCCATATGCTGTGTGTCCTGCCTGGCCACCTGTATCCTCTCTCCCGCCCTCCCTAAGGGTGATGCTGATGACCTTCAGTTTTCAGCCAATATGCTGCACAGCACTTGAAACCACACAGCCAATGTTCCTAGAGCAGCCTCAGCGTAGGGAAATTATTGCAGCAAATGTTAGGACTTCCAAATTGTCATACTCCTGAATCTGGTATTCAGATTTTCTGAAACAAAAATTGTGTGTGACACATGGTTTAACAAAATAATTTTGTGCTGCTTCCTCCTGTCAGATCAGACTGAGAGACAGAGAGAGGTAAGAGAAGAAATATTCAAACTTCAGGGACTCTGCAGGTTGGAGAACAGCACAAGCGAGTGTCTGAGATAAAAACTGTGTTGGGCCGAAACCAGTTTGGCTCAATGGATAGAGCATCAGCTTGGGGACTGAAAGGTCCCAGGTTCAATTCTAGTGAAGGGCATGTACCTTGGTTGCGGGCATGTCCCCAGTAGGGGGTGTGCAAGAGGCAGCTGATCGATTACTCTCATCGATGTTTCTAACTCTCTATCTCTCTCCCTTCCTCTCTGTACAAAATCAATAAAATATATTTAAAAAAAAAACTGTCTTGGGAAATTCTGGATGTAAGCATATGCTGCCTATGGAATCCAATAAAATAGGTATATCATATCTAACAGGTTCTAAGGGGCAACCAAGAATGTATTAGAATTGATAGCATGTTTTTGCCCTAACACACACATAAGTAGGAAACTATTCAAACAGTTGTGATACAATAGTAACTTAGGAGTCTATGAAGGAGAGAGCTGGCATTTGGGAAAATTAGACAGAGAGATCTTTGAAGGACCAATTACAACAAAGAGGCATAAGGGAGACAAGAAGTAACTCAATGGTAAAACAGACAAAGACATCAAGAGAAAAACAAAACAAAACAAGATGGTGAACTATACATAAAATAAATTAAGTCTTCTCTCCTCCTGATAATCTGAGAGAAGGCTTTTGTGAATGGCCTGTGTTTGCTTGAAATTGGTTCTTGAATGTACAGAGTTCTTCTTCCCCTCTGTATCTTAAACTCGCAGGCAGGTTCCACATCAGAAGCTGATTCCATCCATCCTCCTTGAAGGCCCAGTGTCCATATCTTCTCCTCATTTATGAAGCCTTTATCGATTTGCTCCTTCAACTCCCACCACAGTGGAGCAGATCACTCAACAATTTAGTAACACATATTCGTTGTGTGTCTAATGTTAGGGGGCTCCGTTCAAGGCACTGGTGATAAGACAGCAATCAAAACACACCCAATTGCTGCTCTTGTGCAGCACTCTCCACTCGGTGCCACTGCCCAGCCTTCTTAAACATGTGTGCTACTATTATTTAAAATACCTAATTGTCTTGAAATTATGTGTTTATGTTCTCTATCAGATTGTGAGTCCTTGAGGGCAAGCACTATGTCTTAATCAAGTTTTCATCCTCAAGACTTACTGGAGTGCCTGGGATATAATAGTAACCGGCAGGCATATGTATAATGAATGGACACTCTTTGTATTTTTACCTTTTATAAATTTGCAGACTTTGAACATGTTCTCATTCATCTTTTATCTTCCAATGATTCCATTTTCATAAAGAAGAGCCTCCCAGGAGAATTGAGTCCCCTTTACAGACAATGTTTGAGATATAATATCCAACTCAAGGAGACCAACCCAAACTGGGGCAGAATGATTGTGGTGACGTTAAAACGAGTTTGTTTTATTTTACATGGCTATTTTCTGAAACTTCAGATTTATAAAAACACGCATTATTGGAAATTGCTTAATTTTTCATCATAGATTCCTTTATCTAGCAAGTTCTAGTACACTTGAAATATGGTTTAGTTTACAGAACATTGATTTACAAATAGCTTTATCAGCAATTTATCTATTGTTTGAAATATGCAACAGCAATATATGGGAGCAGAATGAATGATAAGTTAATTAAGAACAGGGAACACAAAACTTTTTAATCAATAGATGTAACAAATAAAATGTCCTTCAAATAAATAGTATGGTAGGTAAGTGGTAGGGAGGGGGACAGATAAAAATGGATGGGCCTGTGAAGTGAGGGGCTGGGAGGGAGAGGTACAAAGAAGAAAAGGGGTAACAGGGAATGAGAAACAGAGGGAGTCAGGTAAAACAGAGTCGTGAGTTGGAGAGAGAAGAAAAATTGAGAGAATAGGAGTAGAGAAGCAAGAGAGATGAGGAGCAGAGAGAGTTGAGGGAATTGACACAGAAGTAGATAAAACTGATGCAGGTAAAACAGAGTCATGAGTTGGAGAGAGAAGAAAAATTGAGAGAATAGGAGTAGAGAAGCAAGAGAGATGAGGAGCAGAGAGAGTTGGGGGAATTGACACAGAAGTAGATAAAACTGATGTAGATAAGCAAAAGGGCAAAGGGAAAGAGAGAGTGAGCCAAAAGAGAGAGCATGGGGCTAAGTGAGTGTCTACTTGTTTGGCAAAGGCTTATGCTTGTAGGTTCATCTTGGAACTTGGTCCTTCAGTCATTCATTCATTTGGTGGACCTGTATGGAACATGAACCAAATACTGGGCATTGTTCTAGGTGTGGGGATACAATGATTAACAGAAGGATAAGATCTCTGTCTTCACTGAGTTAAAGTTTAGGTATGGCGATGAGATTGCCTTCTAACACCTCTGGTGTCACAGCTATAGCAGTAGGAATTAGGTTTGCACTTGAAGTAGGGGGCATTGGCACAGACATCTGTCATACTGTAGGCCCTCCTGGAGTTTTCTTTTAAGGCCCTTTGAAACCCTCAGCATCTATGACTCTAACCTTTGAGCTGGACCCTTTATTTGTAGCTCCACAGTGGACCCAGAAGAAAAAATGAGCAGTCACCAAATGCAACTTCTCTTTAATTCTTGCTGTTTATGCTTCTAAGATTTACATGTGTGCATGCATGTGTTGGCAGGAATGCATACAGATTATGTGATTGAGACTGTGCTTTTTATTGGCTACTCTTTCTGTGCTTTATCTCCCCATAAAAAGACTGCTGAGAATACCCAACTTTTGTTGAATTCCCCATCATGGGAAGTTGTGATGAACTTGGTAGGGATGCCAGTCAAGTAGACCGGTGCTGGGGTTGGGTAATAATGACCAGGGGTCGGCCAGGCATGAGAGTTACCCAGCATAGGCGTAAGTAGATGGGCCCAGGGAGAGACCTATTACGAAGGGGGCACTAAAGCTAATTAGAAAGAATAGATCTATTAAGTCTAAAGAAAGATGTGAGGGTTATAAAGAAAAAATGAGGCCAGGAAGTGTGAAGCTGAGAAAATGCAGGGTTAAGGCTGAATATGGAATGAAATGAGGATGAGGGAAGTCTTTTGAGGAGATTGGGAGGCCTGGAGTTTCTTCTTTAAAAAAAATACACACACACACACACACACACACACACACACACACATATATATATATATATATATATATATATATATATATATATATATATATGTATTATTGATTTTTTCACAGAGAGGGATGAAGAGTTAGAAATATCATTGAGCAAGAAGCATATGTCAGTTGCTTCCTGCACACCTCCTACTGGGGATGTGCCCACAACCAAGGTACATGCCCTTGACCAGAATTGAACCTGGGACCTTTCAGTCCACAGGCCGATGCTCTACTCACTGAGCCAAACTGGTTAGGGCTGGAGTTTCTTATTAATGGTTGGTGGCAGGGTGGGTAAATGGACAGTCTGCTAGGATGAAAGACAGCATCAGACATAAACATTCCAATTTGGTATGTGGCGACCTATGTAAAGAAGTGACAAAATAAACAAGTGAGACTTCCAGGGTGTAATCTGAAGGTAACTACGCTTCTTGTGCTGCCCATCAATTCCCACACTTTGGGGCTAATGGCTACCTTCCTTTCTTGATAACCAGGGCACCAGAGCAGTTTACACACATACATACCATAAACACAATTCCAAGTAACAATAAAAACTAATCCTTATGTAAAGTTATGATTTCCCTCCTCTCCAGCTAGTTCTGGCCTTAAGCTGACCCCTTGCAAAGAGAAGGAGCGTATGGTCAGCTATTCCCCCCTGTTTTCTTCTTTTCCCCACCGAGTAATTTGACCAATCCTCTCTCATCTTGTTAATCTTCGTTTCAACTGGAGTTGTAGTGTGTGTACAACTCCCTGGAATTGTAGTGTGTGTATATTAGTTTTATATTGATGTGAAGCAAATTCTTACAACTTGAGTAATTCATGAGCTCACAGTGCAGGCATAGCTGGGCCCTTCACTCAGAGTCTTATAAGTGGATCCAGAAGAACAAGAGGATGTATAGCAGTCACCAAATGAAAAGTCCAGTTGTCTGTTGGGTTGTGATCTCATCTGAGGTGTGGGATCCTCCTCCAAGCTTAAATGGATACAGGCAGAATTCAGTTCCTTGCTCTTGTGGAACTCCTTGCTTCTTCAAGACCAGCAGGAGAGAGCATCACTAATCTTGAAGCCTCTTTCCAAGGGCTCCTTGACCAAGTCAGGCCAATCCAGGACAGTCTCCCTTTTGATTACTTCAAGTCAGCTGATTAGGGACTTTACTCACATTTATAAAACTCCTTCCCTTTTTGTTGTATTCCACTGGTTAGAAGCAAATCACAGTTTTTCCCCACACTCAAGGAATGGCAGGGGGTGGAGGGTAGTTGGGGGAAGAGGCACAAAGGCTTGAAGGCTTGGCCTACCGGGAGCAGGAATCTTGGAGGCCAGCTTAGATATCTGCCTACTACAGGTTGGGAGAACATTTCTCCCTTGATAAACATTGCCATTAGCTGGCCTCAGTGCTTTTTGGACTTGACAAGTGTTTGCAGCTGACTCAATTCCCTTTCCTGCCCTCACCACCATAGGAGTTCTTTTACCTCAGGTTTGCTAGACACATCTGAATGTACTTGTATTACAGCTGTAATTTATAATGCTGTTCAGTCCCCTGGCTTACAGCTGGCCACCTGCCCAGCTTCTGTTGGCAGAGTCCCTTGCCCCTGCAGGGGGCTCTCTTGTTCAGACTCATGAGAATTCCTTGTTGGCACAGGGGTGCCAGCACCTGGCTTACCAGAAACACTGCCACATGTATTTCCCTCAAAAATACCGGGAGTGCTGGTTGCCTCCACAGGACAGTCTCTCTTTTCTCATGCTATGAGAGGCCAGCCATAACTTCTCTTAATTTTTTGGATTTCACAGGAATGAGCTATTCGCTATTCCCTGCTCACCAAACTGCAGAGGGCATGTTCAGTTCTCTAAGAGGTTCTGTTTCAGTTCCTTGCCCTTGGCTTGATCGGAGGGGACAGAATCACCTTACTGAGGTTGACATTCTCGATCAAACTACTCTTGAAAAATATTTGCCTAACTTCCAACTCCCTGTTTTATACATTCCAGTGGTGTTTATATATATATATATATATTTATAATATTCAGAAGTGAATTATATATATATGTGAATATATATATTTATAAAATTCAGAAGTGAATTATATGTGTGTGTGTGTGTGTGTGTGTGTGTATATATATATATATATATATATATATATATATATATATATATATATATAATTCAGAAGTGAGCACAGCATATAGCATCAGTGAAAGGCAGGTGCAGAGTAGGACCCCAGAACCATGAAGAGGCAGAAGCACATTGAGGTGCGTGGGGGTGAGGAGTATAGGATGGCGGGTCTGTCTGCAGCAACGAAGGCCATTCAGAGACCAGACAGATCAAAGCTATCACACTGAGAACAAGCAGTGGAAAGGCAGATGTGCAGGAAGATGCAGACATTGCCAGGCGGGCCCAGAGAAGGGCTATGAGTTTAGGAAAGCAGTCAAGAAACAGGGAGCCAAGGGCAAAGGAGTGCCAGACAGGCAGCAGATGGCACCGAGGAGACCTTGGCTCCCAGCCAGTATCCTAACTAGATGATATTACACAAATAAAGTGATTGGTGGAAGTTGAAAATTAGTAAGAAACATCAATAATTGTGCTTTTTATTTCTTTAAAAAAATACTTTATGGATTAAGGTATCACATATTTGTCATCATCCCCCCATTCCCATCCCAAACCTCTCCCCACGCATGCCCCCACCCCCTGTTGTCCATGACCACTGGTTAGGCTCATATGCATGCACACAAGTCCTTTGGTTGATATCTCTCTCTTATCCTCACCCTCCCCTACCTTCCCTCTGAGGTTTGACAGTCTGATAGATGCTGTTCTTGTTCATCAGTCTATGTTGTTCATCATTTCCCCTAGATGAGTGAGCTCATGTGATACTAGAAATACACTTATCAGAACCAAAAATGAGACAAGCAGCAATGGTTCTACTGAGAGGCAAATGAATCAGTCTATAGTGAGTTCCTTTCTGGGCCACCAGTTCTTTTGAGTCCCAATTTCTATGTCAAACAGTTCCTTATGTGTACATGTCAGCAATAATATTTCAGTTCTGGATGGTGGACAAATGGTGGTAATGCAGGTCTGACCCTCTCTGGTTTGGTCTTGGGCAACTTGCAGTGACGCACAGCTGCTGACTGCTCGTATGGCAAGGCATCGTCAGCATCTTCCATCTCTGGACTGTTTTTTCTTCTGTCTTCATGGCTGGAGCACTCCTGTCAATTCCTCTCTGTTGCAGGAATCCACATGGTCTCGGAGTTGTTTCTATTTCTTTTAAGATTTTTGTACAAGGTGGGGCAAAAGTAGATTTACAGTTGCAAGTACATGAAACAGTTTATTCTTGTATAATAAATATCTAGAAGCCTGGTGCATGAATTTGTGCACAGGTGGTGTCCCTTGGCCTGACCAGAGATCAGATGATTGGGCCGTCTCACCCAGTTCCAATTGGGGCAGGAGGGTAGGCTCTGGAAATGTACAGATGACAGGGATTGGGGGGGATGGAGAGGAGCTCCTGCATTGAGCATCTGCCCCCTGGTGGTTAGTGCATGTCATACTACTGGCTGGTTATCCTGTCATCCATTTGTCCCATTGTCTGGTCAAAACAGTCTCATAGGCTTTTATATATACAGATTATTGTATTATTTTCTACATGAACAACTACTTTTTAAAAAAATATATATTTTATTGATTTTGTACAGAGAGGAAGGGAGAGAGATAGAGAGTTAGAAACATCGATGAGAGAGAGAGTCATCGACCAGCTGCCTCTTGCACACCCCCTACTGGGGATATGCCCGCATCCAAGGTACATGCCCTTCACCGGAATCGAACCCGGGACCTTTCAGTCCCCAAGCCGACGCTCTATCCATTGAGCCAAACCGGTCTCAGCAACAACTACTTTTGATCCACCCTGTAAATAACCTTTTAAATTAAACATAAGGCTGAAAGTTCTGTGTTGATCACAATAAGGATATATACAGATAAGCTTTCAAAGAGTTTGTGGGGGTAAGATAAATAGATAAATAACCATAGTAAGGATCAGATATACTTGTAAAAAATTCTCCATTCTATTTTACTATATTACTTCATACTTATTCTCAGGTTAAGTATATTATTAAAGTAATCATAATGAAAATGTTTTGAACCACACAAAGGGGTTGACCACTTACTCCACAGGCAGCTGTGGAGTAAATTCATATGTGCTCACTGTAGTAACACCTGCTTCCATTTTTAACTTTCTTTTTAAACTTTTATATTTTATATTTTAAATCCATGTATTACATATGGTATTACATATGTCTCCTTTTTTCCCATTGGCCACCCCTACCCCCCAACACATGCCCCATCCCCCTAGTGTCTATGTCCATTGGTTATGCTTATATGCATGCATGTAAGTCCTTTGGTTGATCTCTGAACTCTCACGTTCACCCTCCCTGCCTTTTGTCTGAAGAGTGATAGAATGTTTGATGCTTCTATGTCTTTTAATCTATTTGACTAATAGTCTCTTTTAGAGCAGTTTTAAGTTTACAGAAAAACCTACTCCCAGTAACTACTAGTTTCTGACTTTTAGTTTTTCTGATGCTCATTATTATAAACTTTAAATTATTACCAACATTTTCTCTTTTTTCTTTTTATTTTAAAAACTATATTTTATTGATTTTTTTTACAGAAAGGAAGAAAGAGGGATAGAGAGTTAGAAATATCGATGTGAGAGAAACATCGATCAGCTGCCTCCTACACCCCCTATTGGGGATGTGCCTGCAATCAAGGTGTATGCCCTTGACCGGAATCGAACCTGGGATCTTTCAGTCCATAGGCCGATGCTCTATCCACGGAGCCAAACCAGTTTTGGCTCTTTTCTTGATTTATTAAAGCTAGATTGTATTTGTTGATTCCCTGACATGAAAGGTGAAGCATTTATTTTATTACATTTTCTCTCAATCTTTCATCTCCTTTTTCTCTCAATTTCTGTTACATTTGTATTTTTTCATTTGTATTTCTATTTCCTGTAATAACATTTTCCCCTTGCTTTGATGATAGGTTTATTATAAAAATTAACACCCCCATCCAGCATTTGCAGTTCTATGATTATGCATAGAGTATCCATTGTCATACCAAACTTAGTGCCTGGCCACAGATAAGGCAATATCATCCTATGTTACTAAACCACACATGCTCAAAAGAATATCGGAAGTCAAGGTCCATTGGATTATTGTTTAATTTCTTGTCAACTCTTTTCGGTTCTTCCAGGTCATATTCAGCAGCTTATTATATCTCATATTGTCTTTTTGTATCTCTTAAATTTTGTTGGAATAGCTGTTACTGGTTTTTAGTTTTCACTTGGGGCATGTGAATTTTCTAATCTTAAATGTCAAAGAATGACTTTATTTTGCCCATACATAGTTCAAATATGTATGGGATTTTGAGCTTGAATATTTTTTCTTAAAACTTTGAAGATATTATTTGATTGTGTTTTAGTACTCAAGCTTGTTGATGAAAAGGACTGTGATACTACAAACTACTGAATGAGTTATTGTTTTTAAAGTGTCTTGAAAAGGGCCTGTCATAAAATGAGAGCTATGTAAGTGGTTGATAAATAAAACACTGGAACTGTGTTCTGATTTTTCTTTTATAAGTGGTTATTTTCTCTCTGAAAACATTTAAGATTTTCTTTTCTTCATCCTTGGAATTCTTAAATTGTATCAAGCTATATTGCTAATTCTATTTGGCACTTGGTAGGAACTTTTTGTTTGAATATTCTTGTGTTTTAAGCTTTGAGAAATTTCATTTCTCTCTCTATGTATAGTAATCCTTACCAGAGGATATTTTTTCCATTGATTTT